CTCCCTCTCCCTCTGCCCCTTCCCCTGCTCAAGTGCCCCCTCCCCCCCAAAAAAACCCTACCTCACTCTTACTACTCTTTCTACTGGGTATCTAAGAGAGTGGGACCTAAGCCTGTAACTTCCACTGGACATCTTTGCCACCACGTGGGGGAAGGACAATCTGAGAATGAGGCCAACACAATGGAAAACAGTGAAGTGGTTGAGGGGGGTCTTCCACATGGTGTTAATTGATAGCCTGGATCTAGCTTGTTCTGCACCGGATCTACCTCAGGACTTTCCAGGTGCATGAGATAATCAATTCCCTTTTGTTGTTTAAGGCAGCTTGAGTTGAGTTTCTGTTCCATGTGAGAGCATATGCTCAGGGCTCTTCAGGATTCAAAGATGATCCAGATGTGGCCCAAGCACTCAAGGAGCCCTCAACATAGCAGAGAACATGAGATTAGTGCACACATACACACAAGAAAGGGGGCCCATGCCATCAGCGTGATCCACACATGGGAAGCTTGGCTGCAGGACCATAGTGAAGTGGGTGATGAACACCAGCTGGGGGGAATCTGGTGCACTGAAGAGAAGGCAGCATATTCCCGGCAGAGAGAAAGACCTGGGCAAGGGGCCAGCTGTGGAAAGTGTAGGAAGCTCAGTGTGTATGTTGAAGTTCTGTAGGTCATCCATAGTGACTGAAGGGTAGAGGTTAAGTTAAAAAGGAAGATTTGGGGGACATAAAGACAACAACTACAGAAAATATTTGTTTGGAAGAAATTGTGGGGTCTCTGATTGGCAGTTTGAGGGATTTGACTGGCAGCAGGAAGGTAGAGAGGAATTTTGAATAGGAGGGTGAGGTGTAGAAGATGAATTTGGAAGCCGTGAATGGAGTTGAAAGGGAAGGTTTGGAAGGTGAGGAGGCCAAAGCAATTGTCAAGCTGGACCTCAGTGCAAGGCTGGGAAGGACCAGATGGAAAAAGAAGGCTAGAGGTGGATGGAATCCCTGCCTCTGAGAACATTCTGCAGGGCAGCTTTGGCCATATTTGCTCAAGAATCTTCCTTGTGGTATCATTTGAAAGCCATATTTTTTATTTTATGCTAAACATTGTCAGAGGGAGCAGTGGCAGATTCATCCTGACCATGAGCCAACTGGCCTGGCATACACACTTTTAATGGCATTCCAGACCTCAGGGACTGGCAGACTCTCTCAGAGCCCTGCCCCTGCACTAGCTCTTGCCTTACACAAAGTTAGGATGTCAGGAGGGAGCATCTCTCTTCTTACTTGGCAACTTTCCTGGCAGAAAAGGTCCAGAATGACACTCCAACCCTCCCCCTCATGAGGCATGTACAGCTTGGTCTTCTTAGAGGTGCCACTGCATTGGCTTCAGGCTCGGTGTCATTCTGATTACATCTTCAATCCTGTTCTCTCGGCCCCTCACTCCCAGACCCTAAGCAAGTCCTCCCAGCACCACCATTGCTGACCCTGGTCCAAGTCACCACCATAACCCATGTACATTATTGCAGTGACCTCTCCAGTCTCCCTGCATCTTACTTTTGTTCCTCCATGGTCTGTACTCCACAAAGCATCTCAAACAATCCTTTAACATCACAAACCGGATCCCGTCTGTCACCCATCTTCTTAAAACCTCCTGATGGCTTCCTGCCTGAGTCAGGATAAAATCCTAAATCCCTACAATGCCCCAAAGATTCTACATGATCTGGCCCTTGATCACCTCCTCAACTTTATTTCCTACCACTCCCCTATCCCTTTGAGCTTTTACACTGGCTACTCTTCCTGCCTCTGCTGACTGCTCTCTTTCTCTTCATGGCCCACAATATGCCTCATCATGATAAAAGCTTTCTCTGTCAGGATAGGCTAAGATATGCTGTGGTAACAAACAACTTCCACATCTCAGTGGCTCAAAAACCAATGCGATATTCCTCGTTTACCACGCATGTCTGTTGTGGGTTGGCAGAGTGGCTCTGTCCATCATACTTACCCCACATTGATAGAACAACCACCATCTTGAATGCTTCTGGTTGCCATCCTACAGGAAAAGAAAGAGACTCTTGAGGGTCTCATAACAGGATTTATTGGTTTTTTTTAATTAAAATTTTTTTCATGTTTATTTATTTTTAAGAGAGAGACAGAATGTGAGTAGGGGAGAGGTAGAGAGAGAAGGAGACACAGAATCCAAGGCAGGCTGCAGGCTCTGAACTGTCAGCACAGACCCTGATGCGGGGCTCAAACTCACGAACTGTGAGATCATGACCTGATCCCAAGTCAGATGCTTAACCGACTGAGCCACCCAGGTGCCTCTCATAACAGCATTTAAATGTCAGGCTCAGAAAAAGAAACACATGCCACTTCTGCTCATGCTCTTTGGTCAGTCACTGGCCTCAGTCAACCACAAGGGAACCCAAATATGTAATATTAACAAATAACCAGGAGTGGAAGGGGTTTGTAATTATTTGGTGAATTTGTAATTATTTGGTGTGTGTAGCATGAATTAGAACCCCTTGGAGTATCTTAGAGCCCAGCAATTGTGAGCTATGGGAGGGTTGGCCAGATGGGGTTAGGAGAGAAGGTGGGTGGAGAGTGAGGACAGGGGAGGATGCTGGTCACCTCAGCTCAAGCTCAGGAAGAAAGGAGAACTTGGTTGAGTTGGGCTGCTTACTGAGTCAGTCCAATTGATGCATGTAGGAAAACGTGGTGGCCATTTGTTAGGTCCTTTAGGCCAAAAGTGCCTTATACTGATGGTGGGCTGGGAAGATCCCCCTGCACAGAAATAACTTACCATCTGACATCTGTGATTCTTCCATTAAAGAATCATCCCTTTGTTCCTAGGACTATTTCCCAAGTTGTGTCCAGCAGAACACTTCTATTAGAGGTGTCACCAAATGCTCCTTGGTCTAATAAGATTGTGAAACGCTGGGTTAAACAAAATAATACAGGTTTTCCTCTGCAGGCCTTCTCAGGGCCTTGTTTAATATGCTAATAATATGTACTATCTCTTTCTGAGGTGGAACCAAAATATGCAGCATTTCCTCATATTTTTAAAATCAAGAAACCCTTATATGCATGAATGCTTTCGTAGAGTTCAACTGGCCAGTTTGAGAAGTGTTGGTCTGGAAGTCTTTTTGGTCCCATTGAGTCCCCTGTGGAAAGTAGCTGTCTCTGGAGGGCTTTTTATGGGAGAATGAAAGCAGTACAGACAAGGCTTTGAGAGAATGGGGCTCAGACCAGGGTTTGGGGAGGCAGAGGGTCTGAAAAGGTGAAGTCAGGCATGGAGGTCAAAGTATCCTTTCCCGAGAGTGGAGGCCGAGCTGGAGCCCAACAGAGGGAGAGCTCTCTGTCCCCCCACCCCTCACCACCCCTAGCCTCACTGCTTCCTTCCCTCTCTTGCCCAGGAAGGCTCATTAGTCCTGCTTTCCAAAGCTCTGGCCTTGACCCTTCTCCACCTTCCAAGCCAAAAGTACACCAGGCTGTTTCTATTCTTGTTGGCTTTGCTACCAGCTCTCAAGTCTCTTCTGTGTGGAATGCCCTCTTTTCCCCCAATTCCAGTCTGGAAAATTCTTACTCATTCTTTAATAGTACATTGAGGCATCCGCCTCCAGGAAGCTACTATCCCTGATACCTTTCCCCACCTGCCAAACTCATCTGGATTTATGGTCTGTCCTTGAAGCTCCCATAGCACTGTGTTGTCCTTATCATTGTCCTCATCATGTATTTGTAAAATCTATTTCTGTCCCTCTGATCTGGGGGCCACTTGAGGGCTTTATCTTAATATGTTTTTATCTTTATATCCTCCCCTGATAGGAGATAGATGCTTAATAATTCATTGAATGAATGAAACCCAGGCACATAGCCAGAAATGGCTTAAAATCTCTTACATGTACCACTTTAAAGAATTTCCCTACTTAAAGTAATCTATTCCACGTGTTTAAAAACCTCATCCTTATTTGTCATGGCTCAACTCTGCTGGCTCTCTCATTTCGTGGAGCCTTATATCTTCTCTCTAGCTTTCTCTCCTTCTGTCTGACCAGTTCTTCCCTCCATTGTTGTCTCCTTGCTGCCAGTATGCTCAGGGTCGCCTGACTCAACGTTGTCTTCTCCAAGGGGGTCAATGGTTCTTGGAATGTTGCTGGCCTGCCCTTAGATTTGTTTCCCTGAGTGGGATGCAAATGCAAATATCTTGAGAAGACAATGTTAACTCGAAGGGTGGGAAGAGGGTTTTTGTCCTTGTGGTTGTGAAGACTGAATGAGATAATATACATAAAAAGTTCTTATCAGGTGCTAGTTATGATGTTCACGACCAGGGTGGACGAGAGGGTGAGAAACTGTAGGCAGAGGCCACGGCAAGTCCGTTATTAGCAGTGCACCCAGGGCTGTGGTACTTTTTTTTTTTTTTTTCAACATTTATTTTATTTTTGGGACAGAGAGAGACAGAGCATGAACGGGGGAGGGGCAGAGAGAGAGGGAGACACAGAATTGGAAACAGGCTCCAGGCTCTGAGCCATCAGCCCAGAGCCCGACGCGGGGCTCGAACTCACGGAGCGCGAGATCGTGACCTGGCTGAAGTCGGACGCTTAACCGACTGCGCCACCCAGGCGCCCCTGGGCTGTGGTACTTTTGTGAATCCCAGGCGCTTTTGCCTTTGTGGGCCCCTTCTCCACCAAAAATGTCAAAAATTATATGACCACATTGTTTCATAAAGAGGATGATAATCCAGACCGGATTTGTTATTATATATTCAATACTGTTCTATTCAATTTTTCTTCTGATTTAAAAAATATTAACATTGTTATTTAAGTAAAAGGCCCTCTAAAAGTCTTGTGGCCCCTAGCCACGGCGTCTGCTGTGCCTAACGGCTAAGTCAGCCCTGAGCCCACCGCCCTGCTCATGGCTCCTTGAATGTACGGTGCCCTTCTGTCCTTTTGGGTCACACTGTTCCTTCAGCCTGGGACGTCTGTCCCTCATCCCACCCCCCGCCCTTGCCCTTGTCCACCTGACAGATTAATGCTCATCCTCAAAGCTCAGCTCAAATGTCGCTTTCTCTTGCCAGGGGTAGCAAGCTAAAATAGAGGGTGCCCAGCTCAAATGCAGATAAACAACGAGTAACCGTTTTCATGTAAGTTTGTCCCAAATATCGCAAGTCCCAAATCTTGCATAAAGACAGAGTTATACTGAGAAATTGCACATGTTTATCAGAAATTCAAATGACCTGGCTGCCCTATTCTCTAACTCTCCCTGATTCCTTTTCCTTTCAGGTTTTCTCCTCACCTGCTGCTGGCCAGGACATTCCAGCACTCTCTGTGCACCTGTCCCCACACATCCTCCACCCCATCTGCATTCTTACCACTGTTACCCTCACCTGCCACGGGGCCAGGATGTGAAGGTGCACGGGTTGTCATACATGAGTCAGTGGGCACTTTCCCTTTATTTCCCCAACTGCCTGTTTGTTTTCAGGGATGACTTGGCGGTATTTGGTGTTAATTTCATTCAGGATGTGATGAGACTAAAGTTAACTGTTGCATGGGATCGCAGTAACAGTTCTGTTAAGAAAGATGTGTCCCAAGAAGACACTCCGGGTTCAGACATTTCATTACCTGATGGAAAAAAGCCCCAGAGCCTGTGGCTGAAACCCTTCCCCCCTGCCATTGTGCTCTGAGGTGGACAGTGTGATGTCTTGGGCTCCCTCCTCCCTGTGATTCTGGGGTCAGATAGCAAATCAGCCTCCACCCAAGTAGGACTTCCCATGTGAAGGGGGGGGGGGGTGGTGCTTTCTGTTTTTGAGACCTAAATAGGTTCAGGAAATTCTGATTTTCCACCTTTACCTTGAGAGTGGATTGACTCTTCAAAAAGTTCTCTTAAACCTTTGCTTCACTCAGCTCTGGCCACACAAGAGAAAATCAGTGTGGGCTGATTTCACGAGCACAAGCAACACGAGACTCTTGGAGCCTGGTGACGGGACTCCTAATCCAGTGCGCCCACACGGTTCCTGGCCGCCAAGAATTCAGAACCTGGAGCCCCACAAAAGCAGTATGTCCTCTGAAGACCACTGCAAGGGGGAAGCAATCCCTCCAGACCACCGAGCAGCCAAAGCACTTGTGGTTCAAAACAACTCGAGCCCGGTGAGGATTTTCAGTAAGCACGGTGAAAGTTCTCTTTTTTATGGCTAGGAATTTCCCAGCTTTCAACACATTCTCTCTGACGTGAGAGAAACTCATTTCACATTCTCCCTTTGGAAAGGAAATTTCCAAGGCTGACCACTGGTTAATCATGTTGAGCAAGAAGCCACAGTACCCGTGTGTGTGTGTGTGTGTGTGTGTGTGTGTGTGTGTGTGTGTGTAGGTGTCCTTCCTGTGGGAGCTTCCCAGCAGTTTGCCTCTCTACTGATTTCTAGCCCCCTCTCTGCTCGTCCTGATGCTGATAGGAGTAGGCAACACAGCCCAAGGTAGTTTCAAGGGATGGTCAGCAGGTGCGATGAGAAAGCAAACAAGGGAGCAGTCAGTTCCATGGCCGCACCCACCTGGAAAGTTCCACACACCATGCCCCTACTGGACTGTCACAGTGTTTGTTGGTGTAATCAAGGCTCTGATAAGTTTTACACTTCTCCTTTTAACTTTACAAACTGTTTGATGTTAGTATCTCAGTGTTTTCCAAACTTATTTGATCAGAGAACCGCCCCATCCTCCTTTTTTTTTTGAAGAGCATCTCATCCAATTAGCCATCCTGGGAGCACACTTTGGAGAAATGACTCTGAAAAGGGAGCAGAAGCAAGCAAGAATTTACAATCTTTGCATTCCCTTTGTAAGTCACTAACTTCGTACCAGAATGTGGCTCACAGAAAGCGAGGCTGGCCTCAGCACTGCCCTGGCAAAAGGACTCTAAACACTGGAGCCCACAGTGGGGCCCGGAGACACCATGGAATCTCAGCGCAGGGGATCGGTGAGTGTCAGGAAGGAAAGGGCATTTCGGGCAAAGCCTGGCACTGCTCGGAATGCTGTCTGTTGGAAAACCTAAGCTGGCAGACACTTAGCATGAGTGTTAAGAGTGTCAGTTTTGTTTGGGGTTTAAAACACCACACAAGGCTACCTTTCAACAGTCACAAGGCCACCTATGACATAACATGGGGTGTGTGTCATCTGAGGAGGAAGCATGCTCTCATCCCCAACCCAGAGCAGTGGCATTTCCTCTCTTTGGTGCGTTTTTCTTGCCACCAGAATACACAAAGCTAAGGGCCACCATTTGCACCAACTCCAGGGAGTTGCTACAGCATCATTGTCTGCTACACTGTCATACAGAACAGAGGCGGATGGTGTCACCCAAAGTTGTGCAACGTGGTGGCTCCCTCCTGTTTGCCTTGTTCAGGATTTTGCCAAGACGTTCCTTATTTGCAGGCACTGCCTGTTTCTTAAGTCCTGCCTCAATGTCACCTCTAATTAAAGCAGGTCCCATTTCTTTTTCTATTATAATAGCCTGTTTGTATTCTCTATAGCATTTATCATTGACTGGATCACCACCTACTTTTACTGTTTTGAATACTGTCAGTCTCCACTAGGGTAAAATATCAACTACACAAGGGCAAAAATTTTCGGTTTTGGCCGCTTTGGGATGGCCGGTATCTTGAATAGTGCCTGGCAGAGTGGAGGCAAAGCATAAATATTGGTTGAATAAGCGAAGAACAACTTGGCAAGTTTTTTCTCACTTGGGTGGTGACTGGTTATGGAGAGCTGATGGGCAAGGCCACTGACCAACCAGTGGGCTGTGTGGTGGTGAAGGGGACAGCCCTCTAGCCCAGGGCTTGGCTGGTAAGACTGCGGGACTTAGCTGTGGTCCACAGGCACGAGCGAGTACAGGACAGGGAGCGATAGAAATGAGTTTTTATTCGTAAAAAGTTACAAAATGATATTGTACAAAAATAAAGTCTGTAGAGAACTTTGGTTGTATAACACAAACGATTGGGACAGATCAGAGAAGTTGGAACTTCCAAAGAAGTGCACTCCTTACTGGATCAGATGGTAATTGCAACGATATAGAAAAATCACAAACTTTACCCTTTTGTGGATTTGGAGTGATTTGCTTCAGTGAAAACTTGCTTGTGGTGTGTAGGTGATGCTGGGAACGAGTTGTCAACATCCACCATATCCTAGGGCGCCTGTGGGCAGGGGCTCTCCGTGGGAATCAGGGTTGCCGGGGGTGCGGATAACTGAGCCTGACATCTGGGGACACCAGCCACCCAATCTGCCAGGATTCTCTGAATCAGACAGATGATCCTGGGGCTGCGTCAAATCGTGCTTCATGAATGGCCAGATGGCCGGGTCTGTCACGATTTTTGAGCAGGCTGCTTTTCAGCAAAGTCTCCACTCTGGCCCTAGGAGGTCCTTTCCCTTTATTTCCAAGTCGTGCAAGGGGAGCAGAAAGGACAGAGAGGGACAGAATGAGGGAGAGCCTGGGTTTTCGGGGGCTTGGGGGAAGGGGTATCTGGTAAATGCCGTCTCTTGGTTACTTTTTAAATTAACGTGATTATTTGAGGGAGGTCAGTAGGTCATTTGATTGCTAACTCTGTCCTACTTTGGGGCTAATAGCCACGCAGGTAGTGACAGATGATTTCCTTGATAAAAATCCCTTTTGCGAAACGTGCAACAAACTCGAATATAGGGCCCAGTGCATTGTGCATGGGTCAGCTGCCAGACAAACCCACCTCCGGGACTCGTGCAAGGTGCTGGTTCCCATCCAGCCCCCGCCTCTCCGAAGGCTTTCAGCACACAGGTAGTACGTTTTGTGGGCACGAGACTCGGTGTGCGTATGTGGCTGGGCCAGACACGTGTTCCTCGTCCTGCCTTCTGAGCCACCTTCTTCTGACAGGGACAGCAACTGTTGCCCCACAAGGTCACAGCCAGGGGACTTTTGGGGCAACCAGGTCGATCCCATTTCTGGAAGTCCGGCACGCACTGGGTGTGAGCACGTTTCTCTAGAAGACGGTGGGTGGACGGAAGGATGGAGGAAGGGTCCCCACGAGTCAGGGCGGGACCCTGGTTACCCGACAGGATTTTTGTTTTACTTTTAGGTCAACACTGAATCCAGGACTACCTACTAAAAGGAATTTAACCTTTCATATATATGGTTATGCATATCACAGATAGATATATGTGGAAGGGAGTGAGAGCTTACATACAACAGAAAGGGGAACATGTGGCATATCTACTCAGTGACGGAGCAGTGAGGAAATAAAGCCAGTGCTGACGGTCTGTGCATGCTGCTCCCGGAAAGGGGGCCTGTCAGAAGCGCTCCTTCTGACACATGCCTTTTTTTCAAAAATAAAAACAAGGAAGATGCTGACATCGGGGAGATTAACGAGGGCTTTTCTTAAAAAGGTAAAGTAAGTGATTTTTGCCTAGCGAAGAACTTTTTTAATACTTTGGAAAGCATGGACCCTTGTTCCCAATTTAAAATTTCCTTTGTCACCTTTCTTTGCATTTTGCGAGCACATATACTTTGGCACCTTCGAAAAGAAACTTTAATAAATAAGGGGGGAGAAAAAGAGAAACTCATTAGTGAACGGTAATAAATAACAATAACTTAAATCTCAATAAATATCTTCTCTATATTTCTGTATCTGAAACAGATGCATTGCATCGAGTAGCTTCTCTGGTCACTGGTGACCACGCATAAACGGAGCTGGGGTGTATGTAACATCTGTCTCTCTGTAAACCGACAGGCCCAGTGGGTGTCCCTGCCCCGGTGCAGCTGGGGGCCGTCCCCACTCTGCTCTCCTGCAAGAATGCTGCCGAAAACCACAACTGGCTTCCTGTTTCCAAGGACATAAAGGAAATACCTTCAGGTTTGTTTTTAGTCACGAGGACAGCCTTTTTGGTTCCTAGCCAACTTCTTCCCACCCCACACACCATGTTCAAAATCAATCACCGACCGTTCACAAAAACGCTGGCTGTAGTAAACCTCAGGCCTCAACTTTCAAATTCAAAGGCAACTATCTCTTGTGTCGTTGCTGTTGTTGTTTCGCCTTCCTCCTTTCCTGGGGTATGTCTCCGCTGAGTGACAGAAAAAGAAACCTCTCTTGCTTTCAGCAGTAAAACGTCACGACAAGGAATGACACCAGGATTACCATTTCCCCGGGTGTCTCCAGACATGTGAAAATAAACCACAGGAGACACACTGGTTTGGCTTCAAGTGCATCCGCAACTGTGCCCATGACCGGTGACGGTGGGCTCTATCAGATGAAAGGAAACGCCCAACCAGGGACACCAGCCCTGAGCTTCTGGTGACGTCGGCTGCCGGCCAGGAGAATCTGGATGGCTGTTTTCTCTCCCTTCCAGTTCTCTGTAGCTGGATCTCCCTCTACCAGGCTCCCCCAATGGCTGCCTTCCTCCTCCTCCTCCTCCTCCTCCTCCTCCTCCTCCTGTATCCTCCTCCTCCTCCTCCTCTGCCTCCTTGGTCCTCATCTTCCGTTCTGGGCAAACATTTCCTGGGAACCTTGGTCCCTTTCTTTGCACTGTAGCAGGAATGCAATACACAGCGGTCTCTGGAGCCCGAGTCAGATACATCCACACCTTTTAGCGGAATGCTTTCTTAGAATATGGTAAACCAGGTTGTCATCTAAAAACGACAGGTCGTCGTCATAGGCGATGGGTCTGCAACATGCCTGCCCGACTTTGTCACTCACCAGCCTTCTGTTTTTGGATAAGTTTTTTAATATTTTGTCGTACATTGTCTCAGCTGCATCACAGGAGCCGCTGCAGTACCTAAAAATCAGTTCCTCCTTGGTTTCGTAGCCCAAACCCAGGTCGGTGACGTTTAAATGTATCGCAGTTAAGACACAACCCCGATTTCTGCCCCTCTGGCCTCGCCGACCTTTCCCTCTGGAATTCTCCGGGTTGGCGGCTGCCGCCTGCCGATTCCGCTCTCTTCTAGGCGGCAAGGCCATTTGTTTCTCGGGTGACCTTTTCAGTCTTCTGATGGTAGCTTGAATAAAATCCATGACGTCGTCAAACTGATCAGGATAATCCTCTGGCATATTTGCTGTTCAACAAGGAAACAGAAAAGGTCACGTGAGATGACAGGGATCCTTTCAAGCAGTCTGCTACATCAAAGTGCCTCCGACAGTCAGCCAGGATGGGACCCACAGCGGAGCCACCAGCCAGTCAGGCTCCGTAACCACTGTCTTCCCCCGACAACAGACGCTAGAACGCACCCACGTCTCCACAGAAGGAAGCGTATCCAGTTAAAAGGGGAGACTAGCGTGGTGGGTGACACATTTCCTTGCAGAAAGCAAATCCTTAGAAGCGCACCTTTCATTTGCATAACAGCTGCCGTGCTGAACGAGTCTGTATTGAGGTTGCTGTGAGCAGGCTGATCCTTGAAGGCCATTTTTCACGGCTGCTAATGGAAGCTAGAGGAGTGGCTCTCAGATGTGCGTGTGGATGAGAAGGTGCGGGATGCTCACTGAAATGCAGATTCCCGGCCCTGCCCTTGGTGGAAGGTGCGGGGAGGGGGCCAAAGAATCTCCATTTTTAGTGAATTCTGATGTAGGTGACCCGCAGACCGTACTTGGAGAAGCCCTGTCTTAGAGGGCGAGGATCGGGAAGGATCCTCCACCACTGCCACTCGCATCTGCAATACGGAGCACTCTTCCCCAGAGCCCCTCCCCGACTCGACACCTCTGGGCGGCTGAGTGGGACCAGACCCATCTTGATAGAACCAGTGAAAAGCTCATAGATCCAACTGTATGTTAAAACTTCCTTAAAAACTTCCTGGCAAACAACCTACTTTTCACTGACCGAGAGACTACCGCTTCCTTGGACCAGCATGACTTAAAAAAAAAAAAAATACAGCAGGGGAGCCTGGGTGGCTCAGTCGGTTAAGCGTCCGACTTCGCCTCAGGTCATGATCTCACGGTTGGTGAGTTCAAGCCCCGCGCTGGACTCTGTGCTGACAGCTCAGAGCCTGGAGCCTGCTTCGGATTCTGTGTCTCCCTCTCTCTCTCTGCCCCTCCCCTGCTCACACTCTGTCTCTCTCTCAAAAATAAACATTAAAAAATTAAAAATATATAGTCATACTGTAAGAAGACATTTAAATGTATCAGCAATCAATGGGATGCTGTTTGTGGGAGAGGCGGCTTGACCCCGGGGTGGGGCCCAGCCTCTGCAGCCCCGGGATTCCCGCGGAGGACACAGGACGAGAGATGTAGTCTTTACGGAGATCACACAGAGGAATGGGGAGGCGATGCTTCTCAGATGCCTGAGACCTCTGGGTAAGAGCGTGAATTCCCAATCCCTTAGTGTTTTCTGCTCTGTTGCAGCATTTGCTTTGGCTGAGCAAGTAAGAGAAGAGGAGCTATTTGAACAATTAAATACATTTCTTTTTTTTATTTCAAAAAAATTTTTTTTACATTTATTTATTTTTGAGAGACAGAGAGAGACAGAGCACAAGCAGGGGAGGGGCAGAGAGAGAGAAGGAGACACAGAATCCTAAGCAGGCTCCAGGCTCCGAGCTGACAGCACAGAGCCTGAGATGGGGCTCGAACTCACGAACCATGAGATCATGACCTGAGCCGAAGTCGGACGCTCAACCAACTGAGCCACCCAGGCGCCTCAATTAAATACATTTCTAAAAGAAGAAAGCTATTCAAACCCCTGGTTATTAGGTCCTAGACCTTTTATGCTCCCTCCATCCCAATTGTAGGTAATTGAGCATGTTTAGGGTTGTACGCGGCTTCGAAAAATACACCTCAAAATAGTTGTTCACAAGAGTGAACATGTTTTGCCAAGACCATGGTAAAGTAGAGAAGGGTTACGCTGTGCCTAACCCATGGCACACTGTTTTTTCATGCACTGATTGTTAAATATCAGGAATCCTATTGTGTGAACAAAATCCAGCTAAGGCAGCTTAACCATGTCTACTGATCATTTGGTCAACTGAGAGACCTATATTGATCGATACTGCTCTATCTAGGTTATATAGAATATATATATATTATATTATAGGATGCATTGTAATGAAAAGAGTGGAGACTGTGTGGAATCCCCAGAACACCTCATTGTCTGATATCTAAAATTTGGCTGCGGATGTCTTTGCTGCATGGAAATCACGAAGCTGCTTCCTGGTCTGAGCCCCAACATCTCTGCCTGGATTCCCACCGCAGCCCCTGAACTCCTTCACGCCAGCCTTAGCCTTCAGTCTATTTTCCATTCAGCAGCCAGAGCAATAGTCCTAAAACCGTTAGTGCAGGTCATGTCCCTCTCTGTTCCAAACCCTCCAAAGGCTCCCCATTTCTCTTGGAGTAAAAACCAAAGTCCACGCTGGCCTAAGGCCCTACCTGACCTGGCCACCCCTTCTCCTCCAGCCTTTGTTACGTCTCACCTCATCTTCTACTTCTCTTTTCCTTTCTGCCACTCCTCTAGCCTCCCTGGCCTCCTTACTGTTCCTCACATACAGGGTTTCTCAACTTTAGCCCCACAGACATTTTGGGCAGGATCATTCTTTGCTATGGGAGGCTGTCCTCCCATGTTGTAGGATATTGAGCCGTATTCCTGGCCTCTGCCCAGGAGGTGCCAGTGGTATCCCCCCACCCTCCTCTAGACATTGCTTAATGTCCCTGGGGGCAAAATCATCGTGAGTTGAGAACCACAGATCAGACACACAGGCTAATTCCCGCATCCCCTTCACATCTCTGCCCAAATGTCATCACTACCAAGTCCTACCCTGACTTCCCTGTTTAAAATGCAATCTGTCCTCAAACCCGAATTCAGACCCTCCTCCCTTGCTTCCCCGCCCCCAACTATACAATCTTCCAACACATTGGAGGACTTATTTCTCATGTTTTTTTTATTCATTGTCTGTCTCCTCTGATAGAAAGTCAACTCCAGGAGGCAGGGACCTTTGCTTGGCTTGCTCACCAATGAATCCCAAGTGCTTAAAATAGGTCTGCCCCCTGGAGGCCCTCCGGACTTTTTGAATGAATTAGGGCACTTGAAAAAGCACAGAAGAAGGAGTCCTTAATTTTTCAAGGGGACACTTGGGCTTCAGTTGAGAACAACACCATTATGAAAGAACAGGCTCCAAAGTAAACAGGAAGCCGCGATGATGCCCTGAGTGGCACCATAATTTTCCACCTGAGAGGTAAACATCCAGCTGCAAGCTGACTTTCCTTTCCAGCTTCCCGAAGCACTCAAGTGCTGTCTCTCAATATCCACCTCATTCTGAGCCTGGGAAACGGCTCGTGCTCCGTGGGACGGACACCTTCCCAGGGGTCTGGCGTGGAAGGGTACTCTGAGTTTGTCATTTCCTCTGACCACTTTCTAGCTGACTTCCTTAGGAAGTTTTCTCTTCTCCTTAAAACACAAAAACCTTGAAATCACTCTGGTTTAAAGAAACCAGAGTTTCTTATTTTGAAAAAGGAGCTGCTGACACTGTTTGCGATTTTCTTTCAAGAAGCAGCTTTGAAGAGGAAATTAGGTTTAGTTGTGCTCAGTTTCAAAAAAACATGCTTGTACAGGAATCCGAACTTCTAAAATTGATATATTAGGGGTGATTAATCAAAGTACAAAAAAAGTCTTCATGTTCCCCCCAAAGACTCTTTGTTTTACAAAAGGACCCACATGAGGGTCCCCCTTCCCAACCCTGCGCTCCATTCAAGAATTCCTGAATGGATCAGTAACTTAAGAACCTGGGGACACAGAAAGTTAAAATCGCTTAGGAATCAACTGAAGGTTAATCAGAAATGAGGGCGAAACACTACTAAAATTTTAACCTAAACTCATGGGAAAACATTTGAGTTGCAAAAGTTCAACTTATACTGGTTTAGAGACTTATTAACTTATGTAACAATAAATTACATAATTTTATACCACTGGGGTTATATATAATAACAATTTGAATCAGTATATATAATGTTCTTATTTATTGCCTGATACTTTCAAAGTTCCCCCAAAACCTTTTCCTTCCTTTTTACGACATCTTGACTGCATGGCTTTGTCCACTGGTTTTGCCCGCCAGATAAAATGCAGAACACCCTAGTTAAATTTGAATTTCAGGTTAATAGCAGATAAATTTTTAGTATAAGCAGTCCTAAATAATGTTTGCGACATACTTATACTTTGTGATGAGAACATTTAGTCCCTTGATTTGATATTCCACCTGGCTTTCTCAGGGTGATGAGTGTAGCAGCGTGAATGTACCGATCACCCATGCTTTTGGACGAGGTGGTGAACAGGTCATTGATCCTGAATTAAAAGGCTTCCAGGAACCTGGAAAGCAGTCAATAAATGTTCAATGTTACACCAAAGGGTATAGCTAATAAGAATTTCTCATTTGATGGGAAAATCTCCCTCATACCTTATTGTTAATGTGGAAATATTTATGGAAGCCCCAGGTTCAGGGCGGAGGCGATTCTTATTGAGTCGAAGGGTCTTATTTTCCCCTTCTCTTTTTCCCTTCTTTTCCTTCTTGAAAAATAGAGCACAAAATAAATATTCATCTTGCAAGTCTTACATGGATATGAATTTTAGAAACCAGAAAAAGCCAGAGAACAACTAGGCCTGTCTCTTCCAACTAAATTACTAACTCCAGGCGTGTTGATGCTGAGTTCACTTATAGAGAGGTGCCTTAATTTATCAACACTAGGCATTTGGGGGGCATAAGGAGCCATACGCCTCGCCGCGCCTGTCCTTAGAAATTCTGCAGAGCCTCGAACGCAGCCCCGGCAGACCCACAGCTGCCTGTATCTTCCAAGAATTCATGTCACTGAGGGGAAACAGAGGGGCTGGGATTTGGATTAGTTCCCTAGATTAAAACTTAATAGCATATCAGTTCCTCCTTCCTCCTATAAAGGGCTTGGCAGAACGTCTGCTACACAAATAGCCTTCATTAGTATTAACTTTGATAATAAAGTATTTGCAAACCACAAAAGAGGAGCATCATTTAAAAAAAAAAAAAAAACTAGGTCAAACACTTGCTCATTTCCCAGACACAGTTGGAGGATGTATCTGGGAAAAATACGTCCATCTAAAAGCTAACGTTTT